ACTTGAAAAATGCTTAGTTGTACCGGGGGTAATTGTTAAAACATCATGGTGCCAGAAATTGATTATTTCTTAGTCACCTTAATATTGAATAATTATTTTATTAAAAATTGAAAAAAATATGAGATGTCAGTTCTTTAAAATTTAATTAATTAATTATTAATTTAAAGTTTAACTTATAAGTTTTGCCCACTCTTGGGCTCAACGGAAACCACGGGAAGGTGGTAGGCGTATTCCGTCAGGAAAACACTAAAAGAAAAAAATGTTTTGATAATATGAAAATAATTCTAGCCGCCAACTAATTGATCGTTAGCGATTAGATTTTTTGTAATTTTCGAAACCATTTTCTTCTCTCAGTGTTGGAAGGAAAGAAAATTAAGGAATGGGAAGGAATGGCGGGAAATATTGGGAAGATAAGAAAATTGCATGCACAACAACATAGAAACTCCATGCCCCGATTATTAATAAGCCATGCACCATACGTCATGCAATAAAAAATTATTAATGCGAAAAGTGGGACTCCATGGTAGCTGATAATTTTTCTAAATCCGGTGATTTCCCATTTTTTGCCGATATATCAGCCAAAAAAGACAACTTAAAACGATTTTACCATGAAAATTCTGCAAGGAAATTTGCCTCGAATGATTTGTATGAACAAATTCTTTTAAGTTCATTTTTCCTATGAATCTATTTATTCTTTCAATATTCATATTGGAACAAATTCCAAATAATGGTCAGCCAAACACTAATGGAATTTTCATAGGAATCCAATAGAATTTCATTAAAANTTTCCCATTTTTTGCCGATATATCAGCCAAAAAAGACAACTTAAAACGATTTTACCATGAAAATTCTGCAAGGAAATTTGCCTCGAATGATTTGTATGAACAAATTCTTTTAAGTTCATTTTTCCTATGAATCTATTTATTCTTTCAATATTCATATTGGAACAAATTCCAAATAATGGTCAGCCAAACACTAATGGAATTTTCATAGGAATCCAATAGAATTTCATTAAAATAAAAAACTAGGATTGTTTATTCGATTTTTTCATCTGTGATCATTTTTCAATTATCTTTGCTCGGTCACTCTCTGCAGCTAATTATTTTGATTTTTTTCTGCAGTAATTATTCATTTTCGTGGTTAACTGGAAAATGATGAATTTTCAAAGATTTAACAGTGGGATCGATATAATGGAAAAAAGTCAAGAGATGAAATGATCAAATTTCTTGTTTCCGTTCTTTTTTAAGGTCAAAAATCTTTTAAATTTAAGTAAGACTGTCACTTGCTGAACATTTAATTCCTGAAATGCGGAAAACACAATTAAATTTTTTAAATACTGCTTAGGCAATGTTCAAACAATATTAACAAAAATTAAATAATCTTTTCACCAGTGTTTTCAATTCATTTGCTGCCGAAATATTCAATTTGGAGTGATTTATTAAACGGAATTTTATGCGGAAGTTGATATAGAAAAAAATGAACAATTGATATTTTTTAACAATGCAAAATATATCAAGAAAAATATTCATATTTTTCTTTAAAAAATTCAAATTTTGTGCGTGTTGACTGACATAACGATACCCCCACTCTGACCCAAGCACTGGGTCTCGCCACTCCGACTACCTGCACAATACAACAGCACCCCTTTTTTTATGGTTATTGGCCTAATTGGGGTTGGGAGCTCGGTGCGCTCGGAGAGCTCACTTTGCCCAGGCCTGCTCAAGAGCGTCTCGAGGCATCTCAGAGTGCCGAATTCACCGCTCAATCAAATTGATTTTGATTGGTGCGGACACGCCCCCCGTAAGTGCCAACCGGGCGGAAACCACCGAAAAGAATCGGGGAAAGTAAAGCCCAATATTCAAACTATTTTTCCCTAATTACGGCTAATATTCTTAATTAACAACAACCGATTAATTGTCAATCTGACCGATCAGTTGGGCGTTCATTTAATTGCTAAGAGTTTTTGGCGCCTCCCACGGATCGGTTCTCCGGGATTCACGGGGTTAAAAAACCGTAAAAATCAAATTACTTATTATTTCGAACTCTCTTCTGAACTAAACTCTAAAGCAATCTTGCAATTCACCGGAGACAAGGGTTGCACTTGCTCCAAACGACCTTCCACCAAAAACAAAAAAGTAATCAATTAATCCCCGAAAAATCCAACTGAATTTGGAGCGCTGGTATTTCAACCGGACCTAATCGATTACCCGTAAGATTAACAGTAGGATGAACCCCATAAAAATTACCGGATGACTCTAACTATTGGCCCTTTTTCGCAATAATCTTATGGGCTCTCAAAAACGCGTAATTGACAGATCTCGACAAAATATAATCCACACTCAAACCCAAAAATTCCAAAATTCTAAAAACTCACCACGCCATGGCGGGAAACCCTAAACTCAATTATCATAATGATAACTGGATTACTTACCGCACCGAAGTCGGAAAACAAACTAAATTTTTACCACTCGGAGGTGGAAAGTGGATCTCGCTCTCCCTACGCTTCACTCACGAATCGCCTCTGTAATGTCGCAGGGGTAAGTTGTTATCAGGCCGTGTTGGTGTTCCTAACGAACATCCCCACATGTTCGTTACACACTTCATATAACCCCATATGAGCCCATTATGATACCATATGACCTCAGATAACTTCCGAAAGACCTCATATAACCCCCATATGACCCCGTACAACTTTTATATGACCCCATATAACCCATATATGACCCACATATTACCTCTATATGACTTAAAGCTTCATATTGCTACTGTTTGGTAAGGAACTAGGTTTAGGGTGGATGTGGCAGAAAATGTGGAGGGAGATGCTGGAAAATTAATTGTTGAGACGGATTATAAAAATTGCCGTTTATTGTGGGATCGAACCACGTCATTAAATAAATTCTTTGTATACTCTTTGGTATTAAATTTCACTGTTGAGAGTCTTAAAATCACTGCTATTTGTCTGCAATTTTAATAACGTTGAATCACTGATAATAATGGAAATTGAACTGATAACTGTGGTGATATACTGAACGAAATGCTACAATTAAATACCCGTGCGATCTACGCAATCGCTAGATTTTAACTACTTTTCGGGGGTTTCGCAATCCCCCTACCGCTCAACCGAAGGTTACCGATGGTGCTCGAGGATTGTCGGTAGGACCGACCGTTTAACTGATAGATATATCTACGTTTCAAGCAGCTACTATGCAACTTGATAAATAGATAGGCTGTTTTCATCATCTTTGCACTTCATCGAGAAAGCATCAAGACAATCTTTATGAGCCATGATTTCATTGATATGACTGTTAATTTTTCCAGTTTATTATGAAAAAAATGAAAAAAAAAAAAACAAAAATCTCACAAACGATATGCTGTAGCTCAACAGTGATAGATGCGATCCGCATCATATTCTGATAGAATTAAGAGCCTATCAATACAATTTTTCAAAGCCATGTTTCATTTCATTCTGATAACAATTCTTGCACTGAGCGTCGGAAAATCGATTTTTGAAAAAGTACCAATATTTCACAAACTATAAATAATTCAACTTCAATTGGTGTCGATTAATATAGCCTATTAGCGTCTGTATCCATGGAAAAATTCATGAAATTTCATCAAGTTCCTATAAAGAACATTGCGAAAAAAAAATGAAAAAAGTACACACACATACGTACATACAGACATACAGACGCCATCTAAAAATCGCATATTTAGACGTTTTAGACCATGTTTAGTTACCCTGACACCAAAATTTGGGAACTTAATTTTGAACGATTACAAAGCTTCCATTGGAAAGCAAAAATAGAGAAAAACTTTTAAAATTTTGAAGCAATTTTTCGTATTGTTCCTTGTTGTACCTTGTGACCCGTATGGCCCTTATGACCTTAAAGGTCCCTGGGGGCCACAGGAGCACAAAGATCACCTCCGTTACCCCTTATGCCAATGTACCATGGTCGACAAAATCATGAAACTGTAATTTCATATGAATGGCTAGAAACTTGACACGGTTAGAACGACGACAAGGGCGAAGTCGATCTGCACAAGTTCTCAAATTGGGTGAGGTGAGAATGTCTCGATAGCTTAATGGTCAAGAGCAACTACTCGGATTGCAGAAGGTCATGGGTTCGAATCCCACTCGATCAATCCGATGAGCGCTTAATTTTTTCAATTTGTGCATTGACTAATTAAAACATTGTCTAGCTGTGAATCTCATCTTCTGAACCACTGGGAGTGAATAGAAACACAATTGTGTCCCTCTTTCAGTTTAATTAAAGTTCGCGTTTGATGAGATTCAAACAGCAGCACGAAGGAACAATGTACCTCGAGCGTCTAAGGAATCACGACCGCAAATCCGAATAAATTAACCAAATCAATTAACAACGTTCCCCAGTTATTTTTATATCACACCCCGCGATAAATCACGTTTATGGCACGGTGTGATATAAAAATAACTGCAGAACTGTGCGATAAATCACGTTTATCGCATGAAGTGGTATAATAGTACATTTGAGTACAAGGGCACAAATTTCGTTTTCGACGAATGTGAAGTTTATGCCCGAGTGATCTATAATATTTTATGTCACACCGTGTAGAAGTCGAGCTTGAAGCACGCTGCGCGAAGCGCAGTGTTTATTAGACGTTGTGATACAAGATATTGTTGAAAACTCGGCCATGAAGAACTTTTTTGTCTCATGACAGACAATGAACTCGCATCTGGCTCGGCCTAGAAATTGCACATTTCTCGAAAACTGAATTTTTGATACTACTACTATGTTCACTTCGTGCCGAACAGTCTTTTCGTTTACTTTAAAAATATTGTTCGACACATGTAAGACGGGAATTTTCACGAGTGTGATTGGCAGCCTTCGGCTTCGCCTCGGGCCGCCAACTTCATGCTCGTGAAAATTCCGTCTCACTCGGATCGAAATATACTGTTATACCCTAGATCTGGCATGTACTATGTTCTCGTCAACAAAGTTATCATTCTTTCCTGCTTTCAGTAGAATACTTGGACCGAAATGCCTCCTGCGCTGTTTCTTGACGAACGAGCCAATTCCTCCAGGCACGAGCCCAGTATTAAACACAGCAATGCGCGATGTCGTTGCTTGCTTTTCTGGCTTCAGCCCCGAGGATAAACTAGTCTACCAGCAGAAAATTGAATACATGGGTGGAATCTGCATAAAAGAGCTGCGCCACTGTGTTACCCACCTCATCGGGGATTCCGTCATGTCCGCAAAGTACGAAAAAGCTATGGAAGATGGTATAAAAGTTTACACGAAAGACTGGATCTTCGCAGTATGGGAAACAAACCTGAAAGATTACATACCTGCAACCGACGGGAGTTTCGACAAATATCAAGTCCCAGTCTTTATGAACCTCGTTGTAACATCCACAAATATTCCCAAAGATGAAAAAGATGAATTAAAAAAAATAATCGAACAGAATGGCGGTAAGTTCATGGGTCCCCTGGACGGTCAGAAGGTGAAAATTCTCATTGCAAAGGAGTACACAACGATGAGTGACAAAATAAGATTTGCGATGGCAAACAGTATTCCTTGTTTAAAACCAGACTGGGTGAAAAAAAGTATAGAAGTAGGCTACGCGCTCCCTTTCAACGAGTTTCTCATTTCTCCATCCCATAAAAACAAGTGTTCTACCCCAGAGAAAGGATCACAATTGTCACAGACAAATTTCAATATTTCAACCATCAGCTGTATCCAAGGAGACCTGAACCCTAACGCCCTCATTAATGAGACGATGTCCAGTACGCTAAATGCAACTGCTCATCTGAGCGTCCCGAATCGGAGTCTCCAAGTATCAACAGTATCAGGGAATCACATAAGTATCACGGAAGCGAAGAAGGCGGGTCCTTTCTTAGATGGCTGCAATATTTATTTAGCGGGCTTCTCCTCAATTCAAAGAGACAAAATTAACAAAATAATAAATATGGGAAGCGCAACGAGGTACGATGAAATATCGGAGACTCTCACCCACGTGATTGTTGGAGATCCAGGGAAAGCGTTCGGAGATTTGAAGATAATTCAGGCGAAAAGCCTCCACCCTCACATCTTAAACATTCAATGGTTAGAGGAGAGTATCAAACTCAAAAAACCAGCGCCAGAGGAGTCATTCGCATATGTCAGGAAAGAAGAACCAAACAGAGTTGAGCTCCCTTCATCTCCACTATCTAAAAAGAACCTTCAAATGCTCCAGAAATCGAAACGTCCTCTAGTCCCAGTATTCCAGATGGATAACGTTCCCGAGCCGCCTGAGCACGAACCGGATCTCATAGAACAATACCTCCAGCGGCAAAACTCCGATCGGTCGATGAGCAATTTCCCCCCTGAAAAATCCGATCCTAACCCCTCAAAATCGGTGAGCCAATCCGCAGCCAACGACAGCGAAATGCCTTTTAGTCAGCCCTCGACAATGGGAGCTCAAATATTTCAAAAATTAACATTTTTCGTTACTAGTTTGACCGAAGAAGAAGATGGTTCCCTAAGAGAAAACATTTCTGGTCTCGGTGGAAAATTGGTCTCTCGGAGTTTCACAGGAATCACTGATTTTGCTATTGTTCCGTTCAATGGAGTCAGTTTAAAAACAACCGCAAATCAAGTTGTTACCAGTTTGTTCGTTGATGACTGTTTGGATCATGATGCGGTGGTAGATATTCAGTATTACCATCTACCAATTTGTATTCCTGAGAGCGTAAAACCTCTCGCAGATTGTGTTATTGTTGTTTCGGCCTATACAGGAATAGAGCGGACTTATTTATCTAAATTAGCAGCGGCGCTAGGTGCTCGGCATCAAGACATGTTTGCCCGAAAAACCAACATTGAAAAGGGATTGTACGGTGGCACTCATTTGATTTGCACATCTCCGGAAGGGAATAAGTACAATGCCGCCGTGAAGTGGAAACGGCCAGCGGTAACAGCTGAATGGCTGAGAGCCTGTGCAGAGAAGTTGACATTAGTTGATGAGACTCCATTTTTAGTCGGTGAGACCATGGCTCCAGAGCGCAAGAATCTACTCGAGGGCGGTGTAGTGCCTGCTCCATTGAGTCTCCCAAATCGACAGATCTTAACGCCAAAGAGACTTCTCAATCAAACACCGAACATGGAGACTCCAATCATCAACAAACGATTGAGTTTGAACAAGAACAATAGTGCGAATTCACCATTCCACTTTGCAACACCTGAAACTCCTTATGGTCAGGTGTTCCAAGCAAGTCCTTCACCTAATACGAAGAAAGCTTGGGCGAAGTGGATTGATGGTCTCCCGGAAAATGTCGAAGAGCAGCAACCGAAGAAACGGAAGCTTAGCACCCCATTGTCAGAGCTGAAACGTCAACTATGGTCAGCGTTAAAAAAACCTAAGAATTCTGGAGACGAACATAGCGAACATAGCGATAGTTTCCAACATACCAACGAGCAGGATTCGCTTGAACAACAAAATGAGCATGGCGGGATGACGAATGAAGAACAACATGGTGAGCAGATTGTTCCAATAAATCGAGAGCTGTCATTCGATGATGACACTCCAAAGAAGACTGAGATTCACCAGGAGTTAGAAGAGATGGATAAAATGCTGAAGGCCACGTCGTCGAGTTCCAATGAGGGGAGATTCTCAATTCACGGAGAGGAGCGAGAGAAGATCAGTGAGAATTGTAATGTGCCAGCGACACAGGCGGAGAGTGTAGGGTGGGAAGATCCTCACCCCCAGACTCTGAAGATAGCAATGAGGAATGAAAAGAGCACCTTGGAGGAAACGGAAGAAATTGAGAAAGCTCAAGAAGCTCAGGAACCACTAGAAACGGTGAAGAAATTCAAATTTATGCTCTCTGGAATTAAAGATAGAGAATATCACGAAGCCCTGATCAGGAAATTGGGGGGAGAGGTATCAACGCAATCAGTATTCGATGATTCTGCGACGCATTTGTTATGCATTCGCCCTTCAAGAAATGAAAAAATGTTGGGTAGTATTGCTGGGGGTAAATGGGTTCTGCATTCTTCGTATTTACGAGATTGTGAAACTGCTGGTCGTTTTATTGATGAAGAGAGCTATGAGTGGGGGAATGCTCTTAATAAAGATAACGTACCGTCCATTGATGTCGAGAGTGAGAAGACGATCGCTGCAGCAGCGCACCGATGGCGAATGACGTTGAAAAATTCGAGGAAAGGTGCGTTTGAGGGGATAGTTGCCATGTTAATGGTGAACAAGGACAAGTATGATCAGTTTGAGAGACTCATCAAGGCTGGTGGAGGTACTGTTGTGCAGGCAAAACCTCCGTATGATTCGAGTCCATCTGAGAAAAAAATTACTCACTGTTTTATTGCTAATAGAACTGGTCAACCGATGGACTGGGCCATGCTGGCCAGTAAGGGCATCATGTGCTTTCCACCACAGTTTCTTAATACTTTGCTCACCACAAATGGGCCCCTTAATCCACGAGATCATGTTATACCAGAATTTAAAAAATATTTGGCTTTATTACCTAAATGATTGTGTAAATATAACGATTTGGAATTGGTTACAGATAAAAATCAAGTTCGGTTCTTTTAATTTCATTTCTTTTCGGACCCTCTCGTGTAATTTTTCAACATATTTATTCAGCGGTGAATCAGAGTATGTGGACGATTTTTGATAAAATATGATTCTGTGTATAAAGGTAAATTTAAATACATGTTTTTAGGAAAACAATTACAGATTTTACTACTTTCATTTGTTTTCCTTATCCTTTCCTGATATAAAAAAACATGCATTGGAAATTGTCGTGGCGGAGGACATGCATTTGAAGGGGCAGGGGGGGGGTCGTCTTCTTACACAGTAGCAGAGATTCACTGATCTCCGTGAAGCGCTGTTTACAACCGTTATGACAAAAAATATTGTTCGCCGTACGGCCTAAAATAGTAGATTATGTCATCAGGCGATAAAAGTATTATCTGGTGAATGTGGCTTTATAATCCGAGCCGAAGGCGAGGATTGTTGTCATACTAGCGCCACCGCGGCCGCGACGTTAATGCCCTTTTATTATGCGTTTTCCTCTTTTTTCTACTTTTTAAATTTTTTTTCAAAATCAATTATTCATTAGCGTTCTTATCGCACTGAGCATTAAGATCAATGAAACCAACGCATCCCGTTTCATTACCTGTTCAAGTTCAATATTGCAATATTGAATGATTCCTTACTTTTAATAGCCCAGAATTTTCCAGTTTTTGCATCCACCTTTATCCCTCTACAAAAGTATTGAATTATTTTTCTGGGGAATTTACTCAACCAATTTTTATTTTACTGCAAATTCGCAGAATTTTCTCCTTATCCATGATCTCCTTCACAATTCAATTAAAAGAGTCCATCATTTAGAAACTTTGATCAATCATGTGAAATTTTCTCAAATCATAAATAAGATTCTGAAATTGGAGAGTTGAAAGTATTTATCGAATTTTTCAAAATGCTTTTCTCCTTTCTCATTTCAACCAATCAGAATGAAGCCGCGACGTTGATGCCCTTTCATTATGCCTTTTCTTCTTTTTTATTCGTTTCAAAATTAATTATTCATCGTCGTTCTTATTGTACTGAATGTTGAGATCAATTGGAACGATGCGTCTCAGTTTATTACCCGTTCAAGTTCAATATTTCAATAAGTCACTAATTTTGAATTTCTGTGCTCACTGAATAAGATTTTTATTGTAATTATAAATAAAATTCCATCTAGAATGCATAACAATAATATATACATAATTATAAAATTTCTGTAGATTTTATTTCTATTTACTCCACTACAAAAGCATTTCATTAATTTTCGGGAAAAATTATATAAACAATTCTGATGCTCTTTCGCTAATTCAGAGTATTTTCGCGTCATTCATCATCTTTTTCACCATTTTATTCGAGGATTTCAAGAACTTCCAACTTTTATAGATCATTTGCAATTTATTCAAGCTTTCCATAAAATCGAGCAATTCTTGTAAATTTTTTTTTAACTTGAAAATTTTGTAAAATTGTTGAAAAAAATCCGAGGAACCTCTGAAATGTTCTAAATTATTCTCTCCTTCCTCATTTCGACCAATCAGGGTGCAGTATTTGGCTTTAGGGTAACACCTTCACATTAATTTGATTTGGAAAATTCTACTCTCGCATATTAAGTATTTTCCCATTGTTTATTAAAAAATTTTTGAATATTTGAAAGATACCGAAAATTTTCTCTAATTTTCGAAAAACCTGCGGCTTTTCTCACGTTTCTGCGGAAAACCTCATAATTGTGTTGAATTTGTTGGCAAACTCCCAAATTACCTTAAATTTTGAAAATAAACCGCCGATTTTATGATTTTTTAGGTAACATGCAAACCCCCGGAATCTTCCTTCAAGTTTCTATAATTCATTTCCTATTCACCTTCTTAGAAGAGCATTTTTAGAAAACGCTGAAGCACATGTATTGATTCCCTGGAGATCCAAGAACGACGGTACAATGACGGCGTTGTTGTTGCGTCGTTGATTTTTTTTGCCGATTATGGGGATAGAAAAGGGGGAATGACCCCTAAAAACATTATAAAAGTTTATAAATGAGGTATTCATATTGGTACCGTTAATTGCATTGTTATTTATCAATTGGATGAAATTATTTTTAGTGTTAAGGCCCGCATGGAGGTTCGAAACCCCTCTCCCCTCCACCCACCCCCCCTCGTCTATGTTCTCTGCCATCTAAGATGGCGTATTTCCCCCACTGTTCTCCGGTACTTTTTGGGGGCAATTTTATAGCCTAAAGGGAATAAAAAAAGAAAAAAGGGCGATGTAGCGCGAATTCTATTTTATTGATTAATTTTTTGAGCCTAATTTGATAAAGAATAAAAAAAAACTCGCGCCGTAAGAAGTAGACAAAGTTTTGAGGGAAGAGTATGCACTGAGGGTAGATAATCTTGTTAGTGTAGATAACCCCGGTCACATTTCACTTCCGACAAAAATTTCACTGAACACAAAATAAATCTAAAAATTTCGCGTATGTAGCGCGATTACAAATTTTTCCCCCGAATTATTAAAACTACACTTATTATAAATAAATAAACACTCGCGAAATAAGAAGTGTACAACGAGCTGGCGATCAGCTGTCATAGCCGAACACTGAGGGAAGATAATCCACGGCGACTCAATGCTCCAGTGAAAATGCGGCAAGTCCCATGCCTACCTAGCGCTCCTTTTTACCGACCGCGACTAAGGCGATGTTTTCACGCCGGCACTGTCATACGGTTCCGTACGATGTAAACACTATTAGAGAAGGGGGTGGGGTGGAGAGGCCGGCGTTTTGCAAATCTCTCCGCACCT